GGTTGCTGTGATTTGTGGCCTGGGTTGTTTACTGCACAAGGGGTTCCCAACTGAGGGGGAAGGAGAGATCATCATTCTCTTTACTGGCCAAATATGAGGTTCTGTGTCTACTCAGAGGAAGAGATACGATTTCCTAATTCAGACAAAGTCATCATTTGGGCTCGCATTGTCTCTTTGACCACTTGATAGTTAGAAAGCTTTTCATGTGGGTATTTCATTTGATGTTCCTACCAACCATAAGCAATATGGCAAATGACTCGCTCAGGGTCCTAAGGTAAATAAAGTGATAGAGCCAGATTTGTGCTATGTTTTCCCTCCTATGTCTTACCGTATGACTGCTGAAGGCCATGTCCATCCAAGTGGACCCACCTCTACCCCAGTGGAACCAGTCCTGCCATGTCTCCATGCCAGAGGATGGAGCTCAGTCATTGAAGGGAGCAGAGAGCTCTAACGCTGCCTGGCCCCCTCGCCCTGCTGCACATCTTACTGCAGCTAATGAATTGCTAATACAATTTTCTAGATAATTTTATTTCCATACTCCCACATTTTAATGTGTTTCCAAAAGCTAGCATTTATTTGCTTAATCTCCCAGTGTAATAGAATCTGCCCTGACTCATCATACATGCGAACAATCAGCTAGGCAGAAACGATAGCAAATTGTTTAATAACTCAAATCGCGTCTCTAGATTTTTAACTTGCATGCACCAATAGCTTTTCTTCTGTCTCATCCGCTTCTCCCTCCACCCTTTTCAGTTTTTCTTTTTTAACAAATGTTTTTCCATTATCGAGACTGTTGGTCTCCAAGCATGAGAACAGGAAAGTGGATACAGGACTTGTGAACCTCCTCCTCCTCTTCCCACCAGCCCTTGGTTGGTAGTTAAGTAGCCAAAGAGAGCTTCCTGTGCCTTGTGTGATGTCCCAGGAAGGGGAGAAAGGCCACCGGAGGGGCAGTGTGGCATTTCCTTTCCAACTGGTGATCATATAACTTTAAGCCCATTGACAAGGTGTAGAGCTGGCCATCTGGGGCGTTGTGGATACTGTTCTTTGTTACTGCAGCCCAGGCCCAAGTCCTGTTGTGACACCTTCCTGGGATTTCACTTTTACACCCCTCCTGTCCTCAAGGCCCCATGCCTTCATTTGTCCCCTCACTCTTCCTGTGGTAGCCCAGGCACCATCAGCTTCCCGCCTCCAACTGTCTGCACCTGCTGTTGGTTCCTTGCTGTGGGCCAAGGCATTGCCCTTGCTGTGGGCTGTAGAAGCTTGCCCTCTTCTCTTAGTCTGTTCGGGCTGCTGTCATGCATTGCTGTCGACTTGGGAGATTTATAAAGAAAGGAATTTGTTTGTTTTTTTTTTTTTTTTTTTTTTTGGTTTTTCTCCGGTACCAGGAACCGAACTCACGACCTTGCGCTTGCCAGGCAGGCGCTTTTGCCGCTGAGCTAAATCCCCAGCCCCAGGAATTTGTTTCTCATGGTCCTGGAGATTGGGCAGTCTGAGATCAGGGAGCCAGCATGGCCAGGTTCTGGAGAGGCCCTTCTTCCTGCTTGTGGTCTCATGACTTCTTGCTGTGTCTTCATAGGGTGAGAGGGACTAGCAAGCTTTCTGGAGTCCTTTCTATAAAAGCACTAATCCCATTCTTGAGGACTCTGTTCTCATAATGCAACACCTCCTATGGGCCCCACCTTCTGGTCCCATCACTCCACAGTCAGGATTTCAACATGTGCATTGAGGAGGGCACAGACCTTCAGACCATGGCAGCCCTTGTCCTTGTGTGGCCCCGCATTGCCTTTAGAATGACACCTACACAGTACCACTGGTACACGCAGTCATCTGTGTTCTGACCCCCAGTTTTGCTCCATCCTCAGGGCCTGTCTGCTATGCCATCTGCTCTGAAATTTGCTTGTAGTTTTTCCTTCACCTGATCCTGGGACTCCACTACCCAGCCCTTGGCTTCTCAGATACTCTGCATTCTCAAGGGCTGACTCAGATTCTTCTATGAAACCTACCTCATCACATTTTCTGTCTTCTGGGTGGAGACACTCACGCGTGTGAGTGTCTTTTCTGAGACCCAGTTTCCCTGGCCTATCTCAGCCGCTCCATGGTCACTTAGTGTGGTGCTCACAATTGATAATGGGCAAGGCCAGCTAGATGGGCAGAAATGTGGTTTCAGGCTGTTCTGGGTGTAAGGGACAGCACCAAGGGACAGCTTAATTACGGGCCTTGAGAAGAACAAGGGGGGGCAGAGTATTACAGAGTCCTCAGTTGGCATTGCTGGATGGGCCCAACCCCAGACCACCTCTGGGTCCAGGTCCAGAGGCTCAGGGTGTCTTGCTGGGGTGCTGTCCATGTTCCCTGGGCTTGCATGCTGGTGGGGGGCTCTTGGAAGAGGCCTAGAGGGAGCATTGCCTCTCCGAGGGCATGGCTTGCCCAGGAAGCCTGCTGCCCGATCTAAGGCAGATGCTTGGACACCTGGCCTAATCGGGGGTTTCTATGGGATGGACAGTAAGGGCGGAGGGGGATGCTGTGCTGGGAGCTCTCAGGCTGAAGCAGCAGGGCTGCTATGTCACAGCACATGCTGCAGAGAGACTGCTCCTATGCATGGTGACTGGGCTGAACTGGACTCAGGGGCTCCCTGTCTCCTTCTGTCCTGCTAGACTACTTCCTTCCGTATTGTCATCTTCGTCAAGCGGAGCTGAGCATCCTCATCGATACCTCCCAGAGACTTTGCTGGGTCTCCTGTGGTTGGCGTTGGAAGACTTGCAAAAGCTGTGGCTTGGGACCAGCTTCCCATCTACCCTTCGTGGCCTTGGGTTCTCTAGCCATTGCTGGGGAAAGCCCTGGGTGTATTGGTGCTTGCTTCTTGCTGTCATTAGACATCTATTACAGGAGAAGCCCAGACAGACAGGTGACCAGCCCAGAGGTAAAGTTGGGCCCTGTGCCACAGTTTCTAAAATCAACAGAGTAGGTAGAGAGATCCCAGTGCTGCCTTTCTTACCTTGTGACCTTAGGCTAGTTACTTAATCTGTGTTTTCCCATGTGTAGAACGTGGGATAAGAATGCCTGTGTTGTGATGGAAATATTAAATATGATGACAACATAAAGCCCATAGCACAATGCCTGTAGTTCTCCCCTTCTGCTCTTTGAAGACTGGGAGTAAAATCAAGTCCTAGCTTGTATTCCTGTGTCCCCACACCCCTGCTCTGCCTTCCTGGCTGCTGGCCTGATGGATCAGGGCTACAGAATGGAGCTGGCTGTCGGTAGCTAGACACCAGTGTCTGCACAAGGAGGGGCCCTGCGTGAGTGTGAGAGGCAGGAGAGTGAAGCAGGAGAGAGAGTTCATTCCTGCCTTCCCACTAGTCCATTCCAAACCCAGCCATGAATAGAGCAAGATGGCAAGAACCAGATTTCTCATTTGCTGTCTCCATTCCTGGGCACGAAGGAAGCACGATTCTTCATGTTGTCCCTGCTCCTCCCCCTCACCTGCCACGAGAAGCTCCTTGACTCCTCACCAAGCAGTCCATGGCTTCTGTCAGCCAAAGCTTGGGTCCCCCCTCCGGCCTGGACTGGGTGGACAGGCACCTCCTTTCCCGCTTGGGGTGGCCTTGTGGGGCTGAGCACAGGTGTTGTCCCCCCAGATGCCAGCAAAGACGACCGGGGATGCTGATGTACTTTAGGAACCGGGATTCACACTAGTGAACAGTGGGCTACCGTTACGACACAGAAGCGGAGTTAGACACTGCCTCGTACGGTCCCCTAGCCAGAAAGGCCACAGCTCCAGAGCAACATCAGGAAGGGGTTGATAATAAGCAGGAAACACAGGCTGTCTCTATGGGGTGCTGTGATACTGGGGCAGCACAGGGAGTGACAGAACGAAATGGAAATGTCATGCCACTCACTAGCTGAAAATCTGCTTACAACTGTCCCTGGGCCTTAGGATGAAGCTAAAGATCTTAACGTGGTGCTTAGGACCTCACATGACCCAGCCCCAGCCCCTGCTTCTCTCTAGCTTCCTTCAGCCACACTGTTCTTCTGTCTCATCTTCTCACCCAGCAAGTTTCTTCTCAACTCTTAAGTGTCACAGATCTTATCCCATCAGCAAAGAGTGCTTTCCCCATCGGCCTAGTGTGGCATCTGGGATTAGGGCAGGGACTTTGTGTTCTTCTCTCTTTATAATCCCCAGTGCTACAAAGAGGGTCTGAGTGACGGAAGCTGTCACAATAGTATTTGTTGAATGAATGGACTCAAGATTCATGCTTTAGCTGAGGGGGGTGACATATGCCTGTAGTGCCAGCACTTGGGAGGCTGAGACAGGAGGATCACTGAGAGTTCAAGGCCAACCTGGAACTACATTGTGAGACTCTGTCTCAAAAAAAAAAAAAAAAAAAAATTCATACTTTAATGACCAGAGAAATGGTTAAAAGAATAAGATATGAAACTACCTTTAGAAAATGATTCCCACCCAGACTACCTGGTATGAATCTCAGGGAGACTGCTGCTTATGAACTCTCTAGAGCTTTGGACAAGTTACTAGACCTTTTTGTGCCACGGTTTCCTCATCTGAAGGGTGAGGATGATAGAGACAACCTTTTGAAGTTGTGGTTTTAATTTCATTAATAGTACATTATGATCTTCGTTATTGTTGGTCCTTGCAGAGCCTACTTTGCTTCTCCACTGCTGCTCTAGACTCTGAGAAGTCCCTCTGATTCTGCCCTTAGTACTCTGTCTTCTACGTCGTACCTGACATACTCACAAGTTTACACTTGCTGTTGCCATGTATGTGATTAATGCCTGTCTTTCCTCCACTAGTCCCTAGGTCCCACCAGGGAAGGATGCCTGTTGATTTTGTCCCTTGGAGCCACAGACAACCAACACTGCATGGCCTGGGCTGCCTCTGATTTGCCCTTGGAGTTGAGGGCAGTTGTTGTGCTGCTGGCTTAGGCTGGATGGGCAGAGAATCTCCTTGGGCTCCCCTCCTCCTGAGCTCTCCCTCTGTTCTCTCGCAGGCACGGACATGGCTGTCTTCTGTCTGCTGTGCGGGAAGCGCTTCCAGGCACAGAGTGCGCTCCAGCAGCACATGGAGGTCCACGCGGGCGTGCGCAGCTACATCTGCAGCGAGTGCAACCGCACCTTCCCCAGCCACACCGCCCTCAAGCGTCACCTGCGCTCACACACAGGTAGGCCAGTCCAGGTGACGAGGGCTCTGGGTTTCTGGGAGCCCGTGTCTAGCTTTACCTCCCGAAACATAAAGCAGAGGTGCCGGTCCGAGTCCTTTGTTCCAGGGTGGACATGTGGGATTTCTGGTAATGACAGAGAAATGTTTACAGTTCTTCTTCCAGTCCTGCATGGTGGACCGCTGGTTCTTGATCTCTCCATGCTCAGCACAGAACGGAAGATGTTTATTTTCTATGAACTTTGACTCACTGGGTCCAGGGTGGGATCCAAACCTCAGCACTATTAATAAATACTCCTAAGGGATTCTGACGTAGATAGAGCCAGAATGCGTTTGGAGAACAAATGACTTTCTGGATCTCTAACTCTTTCTGCCACAGCCCCTGATTCCCGCTGCCTGGAGTCCACATACACACTCCTGAAGGCAGCTTCTGGCTCTTAAGGGCACATTGAGCAAGTCACCCTTCTTTCTCCATAACAGCCGCAGAAGGTCTCTTCTTTGGACTCAGCATTATGAACGGGAGACAGTGAGGATATTTAAACAACAAGTCATGATACATCCCTGCAGAGCCGAGTCCACAAGATGGGCTGAGAGAGAGGAAGTGAGACAGAGAGGCTGGCCCAAGTGTCCAAGTGCTGGCATATCACCGCCACTAACGCCTGGGTCTTGAGAGGAGGACAGTTGGTGTCTGAGAGTCAGGAGGCATTTGCTTTTTTGAGCAGCCCTTGATCTCCTCAAGACCCTTCCCACCACCACACACACCTTTCTTTCTCATTCTTGTGTTTGAGAGAGTCTCACTATGTAGTTCAGATTGGCCTTGAACTCACCATGTAGCCCAGGCTGGCCTCAAACTCAGCGCAGTTCTCCTGCCTCATCCTCCCAAGTGCTGGGATTACAAGCGTGTGTGCCACCACACCCTGCTTCTCTTCCTCATTCTTGAGAGTCTTGTCACAGCTCAGGGACTGAGTGTGAGACGAGGTTTTACACAGTGACAGGCTCTGCTATACGAAGAAAGGCTCCGCTGCGACAGACCATCCTGCCAGCAGTGGCGGCCTCGCCAAGGAGCCTACCTGGGCCCTCGCTTCTGGACGCCATTCTGTTCCAAGAAGCCTTGGGTCACCAGAGTTGCTTAGAATTACTTAGGATTGCTGAGGGGGCAGAGGGTAGAGTCCAGCAAGGAGGAAGGGATGGGGCTAAGAACGGTCTCCATAGTGCCTGCATACATGCACCTTCCTGCTGGCATCCTCCTCCCGAGTCCCCGAGCCCAGCCTTCTGAGAGATGGGGAACTCCCTTCAGCCACTTCTGAGCATGCCATTGGGTCATATCACTTGGCTTCGTGTGACATGAAAGATTGCAGGCCTACTAAGTCCCTCAGGAGGCCCCTGCTTCGCCTGTGCCACCTTCTGGGAGCTCAGCTACCCAAATGTCAGTCTTGTTTTGCCCTTTGTCAATCATGGTTCAGTTTGATGGGCAGGGACAGAGTTTGGGAGAAGCCCTTGCTTCATCTAGGAATAACACAACATGTGTGCAGCCCGTGTGCACACACCCACCCACCCATCATTTTCACACCAGCCATACACAGGCCCTGCACATCCCCTACACAATGCCTCATTAATATTCTGTTGTTCTTGGCCCATTTGCTGCTGGGGCTGGGTGTTGAGCATCAGCAGCTGTGTTTGGTAGGTTAGTCCAGCCGTGCTCTTGGCATTGATGGATCCCTGATTCACACAGCTCATCATATAATAAACTCTCAGCTGTGCTGAAGGGAGGGGCCGGGAGGGAGGGGCCGAGGAACTGAGGGACTGGGGCTGGGGTGAGGAGACGGACGCTGGGCTTGGTCAGAGCCAGGGAATCCAGGTGATGATAAATTGGGGAAAGGGGGATCACAGGTGCACTGGGCAGGCCAGAGGGGCTCTAATTAGTCTCGTTTGTCCTGTACTTAATGTCAAGCTCATTAACAAGTCTGCAGAGTTAATCAACATACCACAAATTGGATTTTGAGTCTTGCTGCCAGTTTTGTGTACATTATAGCCACACTGACATGATTAACATGTAGGGTGAGGGTTGTGGGCTGGGTGCTTGTCAGGCTGCAAAATCTGGGTGTGTGTGTGTGTGTGTGTGTGTGTGTGTGTGTGTGTGTGTGCGCCTTGTCTTTCTTTCCTTTCTTCTGAATTCTTTTTATTCCTTTCCCTGGGCTGACTCGAGAGAGTTCCTGTTTAAACTCATTTAACATGTGATCCACTTCATAATGAAATTCATAAAAATCTGATCAAACAGAGCCCTCAGATGTTTTTTTTAAACTCTTAGGGCGCCCCTGTGGAGGTGAAAGGCACACACAGGCAGCCGTGTCGTGTCCCCCCACCCCCCTGGCCCTGGGCTGGGTGGCTGCCGATGTACGTTTTAATTACCAGCTCTGGCTGCGGTCTCATGTGCCCCTTGCTTTATTTATTTATTTATATCTTAATGAGGATACTGAATCTTTGATTAAAGTCGTAATCGTTGCTGATTTGGTAAGGAGGGGGAGTGGGATGTCAGACGGACCTCGTGTGCAGACGCAGAGGGAGAGTGGCACGTGGGGGGGCGCTCGCACAGACTCACCCTCCCTCTCTTAGACACACAAGCAATTAGTGCCAACTCTGCAGGAGCCTTCATTTCCCTTGGGTTCAATGAGGCTGGGGGCTGGAGAATGGGCAGTCTGTGTATCTCTGGCAGCAGGAAGACAAGGGTACTGGTTTTCTGATCGGAGGACCCTAGGCCTCAGTCCATCGCCACATCTGTGTGTGAGGACTTTGCTGCCAGACGTGCTTCTGAGCCAGGCGGTGCCCACAGATCGGTGTGAACTAGACCGAGATGGCCCAGCTCTCAGAGCTTCCCGATGGAACAGCCTCCCACCCCGTGGCCTCCGTGCATCTTGCAAATCTTCCACCCATGAGAGAGTCAGCCCGTGAACAGACCCCAGCAACCACTCCCCACAGAGCCTTAAAAACCCTTCAGAGCCATCAGAAGAGATGAGAATTTATATGGGGACAGGGGCCTGCACTGGGGAGGGGGGAGGTTTGGTTAGCGGCCCTCGGAAGGGAAGGAGGAGAGAATAAAATATCATTTTAAAGAGGAAGTGAAGGCATAGGCATGCGAGTCTATAAGGAGAAGGACAATTTATGCCCAGGCACGAGCGCAGTTTGACATGGGGATAATGAAAAAACGTAGGTCATTGTGGATGACTTAAACCTTCAGCAGCTGAGGAAAATGTATGAAATGCAGAGGACATTACACGCTTGGCAGCCCCGCACATCTGCAGAGGGACAAGTGAAATACAGTGGGCCATTCTTTACCATAAACTGTGGTTGTTGGAGACGCAGCCCAGAGAAATTGTAATTACAGTGACAAGACGAATCAGAGATATTTAAATATTCATGAACAAAGTCTGGGGTGATCAATCTATCTTTATTGTCTTCGCCTTCACTCCTGTAATAAATAAGTAGCTGAAGTCCTCACCTATCATGTCCTGAAACCCCACTTTGGGGACATAATGCACACCCCTGCCTCTCTCCCCTAGGGGATTTTAAGAGTGGGATGCCCAGAAAGGAGGGTACAGATGTTTCTTGTTTAATGACCTACTTGTTTAATGACTGTTCAGATTGGGGGGTGCTGTTTGCACTTATGACCCACTGCTCAGACTTGTGACTTGCCTTTTTTTTTTTTTGCATCGTATACCTTGTTTATACAGTACTGTAATTTTTGCTGATTACACTGTAAAATACAGTACCGCAGTTTTATGCTGTTACGCACTTCAGTACTGCAGTGTAAGAGTTATGCAAATAAAAGCAAAGTCATCAAGTTGGAGTTTCCCTTGACCATTTTTTTTGTTCTGAATATTGTAATGTACATGCTATAGACAATTCCTCATCTAGTGACCAATTCATTTAACAGCCTAGTTGCAGGAATGGAATACGTGCTAAAAGAGGAATGTCTGTAAGGGACATAGATTCCAGATGAGGGAAGACAATTCTCCCTAAGCTTAATGTATCCAACATTTCCTGAGAGTCTGTTCTGGGTCATTCCTGAGCTATACACTTGGGCGACAGGGATGGATCAGGCTCACTTCTCACCCTTGAGGCACTTCCGTTTTAGAGGCATAGTGCCTATGCCAGGAGATACAAGAGTGTGCCAATTAGCAGTCTAAGAAGTAACCAGTGTCCAGGCTTAGCAACCACACCACAGCCCCATCGCAATGCAGCTCCTAACTACACGACCTTAGGGGAGAGAGTTAAGCATCTCTAACTCATTTTTCTCATTTGTAAAATGCGAATTATATTCTTTAAGGTAGTTGTCATGTTCATGTGATATGATCTGTGTATTGGTCTTAGCATAATAGCAAGTGTTCAACAAACATAGGTCATTTTGATGGATATGTTCCACTAAAACTGCACTGTTAATAAAAGAATAAAATGCTGGATGTTTCTTTACTTCGGGACAGAGAAGAAAGTGTGACTCATTCTTCCTGGGATGCTAAAGGGAAGCTTCCGTACAAGGATGAGCTGGGCTTTGAAGGATGACTAGGAGTACTTTGGAGAGAGAAGAAATGAAGCAGAGGGAACAGTTGAGTTAGTGTAAGAGGGAGAGAGTGCAGAAAGTACTTGGGGAACAGTGAGGAGCTCCCCAAATTGGAGGCATGCTTTGAGGGTCAGGGAGTCAAGCTAGAGTGCTGCTTGCCCCGATCCAGGGGAAAGAATAGGTGATAAAGGGAAGAGGCAGCAGTACGAGGTCAGGGCCTGACCCAACCCCTTGTCCCCACAGGTGACCACCCGTACGAGTGTGAGTTCTGTGGCAGTTGCTTCCGGGATGAGAGCACACTCAAGAGCCACAAACGCATCCACACCGGGGAGAAACCGTATGAGTGCAATGGCTGTGGCAAGAAGTTCAGCCTCAAGCACCAGCTGGAGACGCACTATAGGGTGCACACAGGTACTGAGGGCCAGGGAGGGGCCTGGGGTGGGCCGAGGAGCACAGGGTTCCCCCAGAGAACCCAAGTGAGGATGGCCCAAGGCTGAACCAGGAAGAAGAGGTTCTGTGAGGCCTGAATGCTGTCCTTAGCCCTCCACCCACAGACCAAGGCAGGCAGGACTAGTCAATCACAGCACACTGTACCAGGGCCCCAGGTCACACCCTGAGGCAGCCGCACCGCTGTCAGGGCTGACATGCAACGCGATGTCTATTTATGAGTTCTAAGTTAGGGTTCAAGTGCCCAGATTAGCTGGAAGCGAAGATTAGCATGGTTTTGTGTTGCTAGAGGGTTAGAGGAAGAATTAGCATGCATTGAATGAGGCTATGATAGGGTGGGGAAATCGTGATGTTAGATCAAGTTCAGTTCTGAGCTTAGAGAAGCAGATGTATTTAATAATCCTTTGATGTGTATAATGTTTTACTATTTCAAAGTACCTTGACATTCCTTTTTACTTAAAAGAAATGTGAGCAACAGTTTTCCCTGGGCTCTGAGGACAGACAAGTGAAAGTGGTCCAGACTTCCAGGAATTCCTGCGTTAGGAACAGTGGGTGGAGTCCTGGGGCAGCCTTATACTTGCTTGTGAAAGCCTGCTTTTCCCAGTTTCAAGTTCAGTGACATCATCTTCATTGCCTAAAATTGTTTGCAGAGGAAGTACTGTATTCACAACATACTGGTAGGCCAATGCCACAGATCAGGGCTTTTTGGAAAGCTGCATGTTAAACCCTACCAGCACACTGCCAGTTAGTAGAGAGGTGCATGTTCAGAGGGGCATCCTCTGAGAATGAGAGCTGGCGGAACCAGGAAAACTAGGAAGCCCTCTGATCAGGGAGACCGTGAGCCTGTCTAGAAGAAGGGGAAGAGATGACCTCAGGAAAGTCGTGCTGCCTTAGGGGACAGTGTGTTGCCGTGGGAGAGGAGAGGTGAGCAGAGGGAGTAGTACGCAGAGCTGTGTGTCGTCCAGGCTGTCTTCTTTCCTCTAGCTGAGGATGGGGTGCCCGCTGCTGACAACTCAAGTGACCCAGAGGGTTTCCCAGAGCCCTGGGGTTTCCTTAGCCCCTTGTTGGGGATGTGACCTGGCCAGTGGATCATTAAATGCATTGGCAGTGACTATTGTAAATAGCCGGTCGATAGTTAGATCACTTGGGCTGTTCATTACTTCATTATTTGCTGGGCCTCTGCACGGAGGAATATTGATAGCGAGATGGCTGGCCAGTTAATTACTGTATCGAAACAAGGTTCCCTTCCATCCTCTGTTCAGCTGCGGGGGACTCCAGTGGAGGGGAGATCGGGGTAGGGTAGCAGGCTATGCCATGGCTGTGTCCACCAATTCTTGCCCCAGAAAGGAAGGCAGGTCCAGCACAGGTTCTTAGCACTTTACCACGCTAGGTTCTCCAGGTGGAGAGTGTATGAAGAACGGGGCTCCCTGGCTTTCTCCCACCCCTGTTCCTTAACATCTGTAACCCTAGAAGGACTGTCTACTCTGTTCCTACTGGGAGAACTGGGTGAGGAACCATCTCGCAGGACTTCCAGGACCTCAGTGTCCCCTTTTGAGACATTTATTTCCTTAAGTAGAAGGCAAGAGCCCTGGCCTTTGGGAAAGTTAAAAATAGTGAGGCAAGGGGCTAATGGTGTGCCATCCATTCCTATAGCCACCAGCCACCAATGCTGTTCTCACTAGCACAGTGATACACAGCAAAGAGCATAGCATCCCAGTTGCACTAGCCACATCTGTGCCTGTATGTGGCTGGTGGCCGCCATGTTGGATGGTGTGTCCATCATCTTGGAAGTTCTGCTGGACAGCATTGGACTAGAGGACCAAGATTCTCCCACATGCCTGAGGGTGGCCCAAGGCCCTCATGGTCCTCTCCCTTTGTCTTTACTCTCTCCTGCTGTGTCCACCCCCTCCCTAGGTGAGAAGCCCTTTGAGTGCAAGCTCTGCCACCAGCGCTCCCGGGACTACTCCGCCATGATTAAGCACCTGAGAACGCACAATGGCGCCTCACCCTACCAGTGCACCATCTGCACGGAGTACTGCCCCAGCCTCTCCTCCATGCAGAAGCACATGAAGGGCCACAAGCCTGAGGAGATCCCGCCCGACTGGAGGATAGAGAAGACTTACCTCTACCTGTGCTACGTGTGAAGGGAGGCCCTCTCGGCGGAGCAGGAGCGACAGCCAGGAAAGACAAGTTAGAGCGAGATGAAGTCGAGGGAGGACTGTGCAAAGAAAAAAACGATAAAAAGATAAAAAGAAAAGAAAAAATGAGAGAGAAGGAAAAGGAAACCTCAAAACTATTCGGTGTTTGATTCTCTGTAGGGCTCCAGGTGACCTGGATGCCAAGCCAGTGTCCTTTCCCAGGGGGCCTCTGCCCTCTGTGGAGGCTGGAGGCTTGATTTTCATGGGTGGGTAGAGGTGGTTTTGTTCACTTCCATGGTGGCATATTTTTCTCCTCCCTCTACCCAGACCCTCCATCTGTGTCTAGAAGTAGAGGCTGAGAGGCGAGTGGGAGGGCTGCTGGTCAGATGGTCAGAGCCACACTGTCTGCCCATCCTCCTCCCATCGCCTCCTCAGAGGATGGAGGGAGGGAAGCAGAGGGGCCTGCAGATGGTACGGGGGCCCGGCTGATGCTCACAATGGCAGCTCTGGTTTGCTGGGGGCAGGTTGGGAGGGGAAGGGCTCTCTTTCCACGCTCAGTTCATCCGCTGCTTTCCTGTGCCCTGCCATATCTGGCTGTCCCTGGAGATCTCTTGAGAACCTCTGAGCTCTCCCCTCCCTAGCTCTGTGCTCTTGTCCTCCTTTTAACTGCTGTCCTCCGGGTTCCAGGAGCTCCTAGCCCCTTGGGGACGTGGGCAGCATTTCCTTCCTCCCCTGGTTCCTCGTGGGAAACCTTCAACCCCCTCCAGAGCCCCTTCCTCCCCTTAGTTTTCTGCGTACACAAAACAAAATACGTCGGATACCCACCTGGGCGAAGCCCACCTGGAGCAAGGTTCCTGCTGAGCTGTTTTTGCTTCCAAAATGGAAAAACAGAACAACTAAATACGTTATCTCCCACCAGCCAAGCAAACGCACACGCCTACAACCCTGTGTCAGTCCCTAGGGAGAGGACATGAAAGGGCTCATCGTCCAAGGGAAAGATACAGGTGTCCTTCCCGCGCAGGGTGTGGGAGCTGGCCAGGGGAGGAAGTTGCTGTCATGCTGGGGACCCGTTAAGTATGGGGCCTGGGGAACCCCAGACACAGTGATCCCGGCAGGAAAACCCAGGCCCAGACAGCAGCACAGGATCACTGGCTCACAGGCCAGTGAGAGGAGGAGGAGGAGAAGCTGAAAGCGCATTGGCCTTGTGTATGTTTTGCTTCTTTCCTGTGTCCCCTGTTAGCACATTGTACTTGAATTACCTCAGTTTTTTTGTGACCTCATGAGCTCTTTAACCCTATGTCTTTTTTTTTTTTTTTTTTTGGTTGGGGGTTGGAGGAATGGGAAGGGTGTGTTCTCTTCTGTTTTTTGTGTAAATGCACAGCCGGCTTTAGACTTCAGCTGGCCAAGACCCTGCTGTCACCCTGGTCACCCTGGTCACCCTGGCTCCCAGCCTCCCCTCTGGAGCTGGCAGAAGGAGTGTAACACTCAGGATTTACGTATGAGGGCCGGGAAGGGCAGAGGGGTGGGTAGAGGGGATGGTGTGTGAGGGTCTCACTGTCCTGAAGGCACTCGGGAGTCACTGTTGGTTCTGCCTAGGGCTCAAGCCATCTGTGCCCAGCGTTAGCTCAGCCTGACACACTCTGGAGGCCGCACCCACCATCCCTACAACTTGCTGGGTCCTTGAGGCTGGAGGCCTTGTCCCTCGGATCCCTGCAGAGAGCGTGGTGTACCTCCGTGTATGCGGTCATTGCCTAAGTCGGTGTCCTTTCATGGCTGGTTAGGGGTGACCCGGCCTTGGTTTTGTTGTATTAGGGGGGGCGTTATTTTTCTAAAAGCTACCTCTTCGTTTGTCCACTCGTTCTGTTCCTCTCTCGCCTCCCCTCTGCTCCTCCTTTTCCCCAGCCCCGCCCCCCCTCGATCTTTGGAAAGCACATTTGCAATACTCCTGTTTGCTTGGGGATGGGCCCTGTGTTTCATCTCATGCTTTATGTGTAAGAGTTGCTTCTTTTCCTTCCTTTCTCTCTCTCTCAGAAAGTTGTGGCTGCATTGTGATCTTAGGTTTTTAAAAAGTGGTTTAGGGAAGCGATGTCGAGGAGAAGGGTTGGGAGGAATCTCGGGAAGTCGGAGGGATGGGTGCTGCTGTAACCATCCTCCTGTCCCCCGGCCCCATCCCTCCTGCCCTCCCCTTCAATCTTGTCCACCAAATCTGAAGGCCTTAAAACGTGTGTGTTGGGGGATGTGCATTGGGGGTGCGGTGTCACTAAACGGTTGGTTAGGGGTGATCACGTCAAGAGGATGCTGTTTTGCAACTATGATGATGACTTAGTGCTTTGGAAAGGAAAAAGTTAAACTTGAAATACGTGATTAGAGCAGTTGTCATGTTCATAATGTGAAAAGAGTAGACTCTTCGGGGGAGAGGCAGTCTGTAAGAAACCACGATGCACTATGCCCTCCTCCCCCAGTCAGTCAGGGGAGCTGAAATTCCAGACAACAGTATTTTTAACAGCAAGATGTCATTCAACATTGGTGGGGAAGGGGAAAAAAAAAAAACAAACTACTCCATAGAACAAGCTGGCCCCTTGCTCCCCGACCCTTCCCACTCAGCCTGGTCCCCTCATTCATAAGAGCTGAGAGGGCTGAGCTGATCTCTACAAATTGTAATATTTTTGTAGTATTTGTTAGTTCCTTTGTCAGTTCTACAGGACCTTGCCCTTTCCTTTTGTAATGTGAATAGGAAAACAAAAGAAAAAGATAAAAAAAAAAAATTCACCACCATCACAACCAACAAACAACAAATTACCCTTCGTATGTGTGTGCGCGCGTGTGCTCTGTGTGTGTGGTGGTGTGTCCAATCATGAGGTATTTTGTAATGTGTAATGTTGCAGCTTAGGATGGTACTAACCCAGCGTCTGCCTGGCCCACCCAGCCTGGAGGGCTCTGCAGATCCCAGTAGCGGGTGTGGTAAGCTCTTGAGGGAGACCAGAGGGGGTACTTCCGTACTTGCTGTGTTCCCTGGGAGACCCCAGATACCCCAAAGGAGCCCAGTACGCCTCTTCTCCACCTTCCTGCCCAAAAAGGCAAAACTGTTCTCCACCTGCCAAGACTTTCTGCGCCAGCACAGGCAGCGTAGGAAGCCCTCGAGAGCGCAGGCTTGGGGAGACTAGGCGTGTGCAGGTGGCCCCCTTGCCAGATGAGCTTGGGGTGTTTGCCCCCCTCTCCTTGCTGCCATCTGGCCCGTGCTGCCGCCCTGCTGCCTTTAGCTGTGGTCCTGCAAAATCCCAGCGTGCTACTGCCTTATCCAGAACGGTAACCCTTCTCCAGTCTGGGGACTCCTTTCCCAGGTCAGGCTCCTACCAGTGTGTCCCTTAATGCTTTTGCTGACATTTATCCCTCACTCATGTGCCCCTTCCCTGATTACTCCTTCGCTCATTCAAAGCATAAAAATCCTATGTGTATATAGGATAGACAAATATATAGAGAGAGATATATATAGCAAGAGAGATATAAATAGTAAATAACGTTGCTGCTTTGGGCTGCTTTGGAGGAGGCCACGAATATGAGGAAGGCAGATTTGGGGTACAGGGGTGGGTCGGGAGGCTGGGGACCCAGTGATTCAGTACAATCCAGGGGTGCAACAGGGGCTTGTTTAATCCTTGTGCCTGAACAGTTTTTCCATGTTGAGAAAAAAAAAAGAAAAAAAAAAAACCTGCTGCATTTTTTCACAAGTGTATGGTACCTTTCTGGACGCTATGTATGGGTACACGAGCTGTAGGAGGAGAGCGCCCTTGGGCACCTTCTTCGTGGGGGGACTTTGGACCAGTTCCCTGGCAAAGCTGAACTAGGGTGAAGATGGGGGTGGGGGAGAATAGGAGACGGAAAAGCGAAAGAGGTGAGATCTTCTTGGTTCATTTTTCCCAGGCCTGTTTTATTGCCATCTTCCCCCCCTCCCATCTCGTCTCCTCCTTCCTGGAGCTTCTGCTGGCCTGGCTAGAATGGTGGCACTTACCTGGAGATCTCAGTGGGAGGACAGGCTGCAGGACTCACCCTACACAGTGGGACCGGCGAGTAGCAGCAGAGGCAGAAATGGCCAAGAGAGGGCTACAGGACAAACCCAAGGAGGCTGGGTCAGGGGAAGAGGCGGGGGAAGAGAGGAACACGGGGCCCAAGGGCCTGCCAGCCAGCAGCTGCAGCCTCCCCAGCCTCCCCATGTCCTTGGCCGCCCACTCCGCAGACAGGGTCCCGGCCTCCCGGTGTGTATCATAGTGTTCGTTCACATAGTGTTATGCATGATCCTCGTAAGGTTAAGAGGCCGTGGTGGTGCGCCATGCCATCCGCCCATATATATAAAGATAAATATATATATATGTATGTAAGTTATAGCACTGGGGGCCCTGATGCCCTGCTGGACCAAGCAAAACTAAGCCTTTTGGTTTGGGTATTATGTTTTGTTTCGTTTGTTTTTGTGGCTTGTCTTCTATCGTGACAGCACAAGTGCCAGTCCGATTGCTCTGTATTACAGAATAGTGTTTTTAATTCATCAATGTTCTAGTTAATGTCTACCTCAGCGCCTCCTCTTAGCCTAATTTTAGGAGGTTGCCCAATTTTGTTTCTTCAATTTTACTGGTTCCTTTTTTGTACAAATCAACCTGTCAGTCCCTCTCCCTCCCTTTCCCCCTCCCCCTTTCTCTTTCCTTCTCTTTCTCCCTCTCTCCTCTCTTCCCCCTCCATTCCTCTGTCTTCCTGGTCTCTTTCCCTTCCTCTCCTTTCCTCTCTTGCTGGCCTTCCCTTCCTCTCTTCTCCTCCTCCCCTGCCCCTTCTTGGATTTCACCTTCACCCCTTCCCTGTCCCCCAAGTTGTGCTTGCCACTTCTTTCTGTTTTCTGAAGCAGTTCTCTCGAAGTTGTGCGGTCCTGGTTGCAGCTTTCCGCATCTGCCTTCGTTTCGTGTAGATTGATGCGTTTCTTTGTAACTTCAGTGTTTCTGACAAGATTTAAAAGAAAAAAAGAAAAAAAAAATTTACTGCTGCAGGTTTTTTTCTCTCTCCATGTGTCACTAAGTGAAGTTTGTGCCTTCTATAGCAAAGAGAATATTTTTTACATCCTACTAACAGTAGATTTTTTTGTAGTGAACATTTTTTGTATTTTTATTTATAAGTCTCATAAGAAAAATAGCAATGTTCAGTTGTATACCTTGAATCTGCAGTTAGAAAAGAATAAAGTTAATTCAGTTGTCTCCGGGTCACAGTGTCCCCCCCTCTTTTTAAAGTGCTTTGTCTTTTCTGCCTTTTCTTGGATGGGGAACATTGCAGAGGAACTAAGATTTCTGTCTGGTGATAAAGGGAAGAGAACACTCAGTGATGTGCACATTCACCTGATGACACTTCCATGCCCTGTGTGTGTACAAGGCACATACCCACTCCACAACGTACGGGTCTAATGATTTTTAGCTTAAATGGTGCTCAATACATTAATAGCATTTGATCTTGGTACTGTGTACCACATAGGGCATTCTTTCATGCACTCATTTGACAAGACTGTCTCACACCACTGTTTTCTGTACTGGAATCATGGACAGAGCACAAGCCCTGGCCCCGTGGAGTTAACGTCTGTTGGCATGTAACTCCTTGCTTGGGATCATGCCGCTAGTGAGTGGGGCAGTCAGATCTTTCATCCAGACCTAATCCCGAATCAGGTTCGGTTTGTCCTGCACTCCCAAGGCGGGAATCTCCTGTCTGGATATTTATGGAGTCACTGTCCACGTCTTCCTGGCAGCTGACCAAGGTTTAGGAATGTCTCCACATGAAGCTTCCACCCAATTAAAAGCCCCTGGTCCTGTGGCAGCCAAGACCTGTTGAGAAGGAGGCTAGAGCAGGTGGCCATGTGCAGGGAGGGTAGGGATGGGGGCCTGGGGCAGAGGCACCAGCTCAACATTTCCACCAACACAGATTAAATGATGGCCACAGAGCTCAGCCTGTTGGGTTTCCTTCTGGCCCATGTCCCTGTCTGTGAGCCAAGCCCTCTTCTGCATCCTGGGGGTGGAAGCCCATCTGCTTACCTGTAGCTGCGGACCCCTTCTACTCTGTCCTACACATGGTGGCCAGCACCTCCGCCTGAGGTCATCCGAGCTGCCCCGTCACCAGCATCGTTTGTCCCCCGGCCGAGGCCTGGGAACACAAGCTGCTGTTGCCGCGGTGGTCACTCAGGTGGGAGCCCCGCCCGCCTCGGGCCTGCCCTGCAGCATCACCGGGAGTCCCCCGAGCCGGGAGCAGTGTCCCAGTGCTTTGTCCGCCCCGTGCTGCAGTCTGCAGGGAGACCTGGGGCTCTGCCTGCCTGCCTGCCTGGATGGCAGCCATCGAAAGGTGATCTGCCAGCTCCTGCTGTCCGGGACCCTGGGCTTGCTGAGCTGAGACCACCTGGAGCCACACTCACCGCTGGACAATCTTCCCAGCTCTCCGGAAGTCGGCCCCTCTGCCTGGCCTTTCTCTCCCACCCCCCGTATTTTCCCTGGAGTTTCTGTCTCGCAGTGTTTCTCCTGTCCCCATATTTCTCCCCTTGGAAAAGAATGCTTGGCCCAAAAGGTATTTGTTTTGATTTGGATCTGCCGTCTCCCTCTTACCCCCACCCCTACCCCTCTGCCTCCCGCCCCTCCCCCAGCCCCCGACGGCCTCAGGCCTCAGCTTTCTCTTGACAGATGGGAGGGCAGTGAGCACTCCCTCTTTAAAACAACATTTAATCGCCGTTTTCTGTTCTTGGACATCAAAGCTGAGGCTTAGGCGCTGCGCTGGGGTCGCAGAGGCGCGGGCTCTGGGGGAGAGGAGGTGGGTGAATAGGGGCTGGCTGAATGGGCTTTGTGTGACCGCCGGGGTCTGCCTGCTTTACATGCTCTTTGACCCAGATATGATCTCATGGAGAAAAAGGGGCCCTGGCCCGGCCAGCCTGAGAACGCACGCTCCTCAGGGCCAGCCTCCACCCTCCTTCCTCCCAGCCGCGGCCGCAGCTGCCCTCTGCTCCAGCCGGGACGTCCTAGGCAGCCTTGTCCAGGACAGGGCTTGCCAGCGGGCACGCAGTTGGGGCCAGGAAGGGGACAGGCAGATGCCCCCCACTCCAGGGTTGCAAACTCCCTAGGCAGTACGGCCTCCCACGTCCTCGGATGTGGGTAGGGCCTTGGTCCTCATCAGCCTTAGAGGCTGTCCTTCCAGTGGCTTTGCGAGGTCCCTCTCTCCAGAGGTGGCAAAGCTGGAGCCTGGATGCAGCAAAGGCCTGCCGAAGCTCCACGCAGCTAAGAAGCAGGAGAAGGTGGACGAGTCCGAGGCTGTCTCACCCCCTCCACAGTGCCAGCCTTCCCACCTGGCTGCCTGTGGAGACCCTCCCGCCCCTGGCCCAGGAAGGGACATCTGAAGATGCTGCCTCTGCGCTCTGCCTCCACCCTTCCCTCTCCCATTCTCTGCTTTGCCTGTAGGCTCAGTGATTTTCCAAAAATGCAAATAGCATCTCAGTCTCCGGTGGTTCCTCATCTCTCCTAGGGTGGAATTCAAACTCCGCAGCAAGGCTCACAAGACCTCTGGGGCAGCGGCGGCTTCCCACCCTGACCTCCCCTCGAGATCACCCCAAGCCCCTGATCGCAGAGTGGCTGCCCCTGTGCTCTTCTGTGTGTGGACCCCAGGCGGTTTCTGGGGTGCACAAGCCTGCCGTCCTCTCTGCTGTGAGCTGCGCAGACCCACACTCCCCTCTCCTGCCCAGCCCTCACAGTCTCTTGACTCACGTTTCTGCTCAAGTCTGCCTCTCTTTGCGAAGGCCACCTGAGGCTGAATTAGGTGCCCCTGCTGTGCAGACCCTCGGTTGTACCATTTGTCATTGTGCATGATAATCACCTGTTTTCTTAATTGCCAGCATCTCTGGACTCAAGTTCCTTGAGGTCAAGGACTGTGTTCTTTATCTTCGGATTCCCAGAGCCTAACTGTCTACACAGGCAGCCACCCAACGAATAATAAATGGATAGAAGAACGAGTGGGGAACGGAGGGAGGGGAGAGCCAGTTGGCGCTCTGGAGCGGAGGATGCAATTGTCAGGGCCGAGGGGGGACAGTAAGGAAGCGGTCACATGACCACGCAGGCTCTGCCAGGAGACTCCCATGGACAGGTGGGGCCTCTGCTTCCCACACCTGTGCTGTATTTGCTCATGCAGCCACCTGAACTGGGCTTGCCGTGCTCCGGGGGAAGGAGAAGAAGTCCCAGGGCTGTGACGCTCACAGTCAGGAACTATCTGAGCATCTCTCTGTGTGTGGAGATGCCTGCACCTCCATCAGGGAGGACATCGCCCCCTCTGTATGCCGGGCGCAGCCCTGGCCCCTCAGGGGCCAGCAGGAGGGCGGGCTCCTCTGGGCTGCCTTCCTGCTCCCCAGGGGGTGCCTCGGTGAAAGTGAACTCCGCTCATTTAAACCTGACTCCGCAGCCCTGCAGCCCCCTGCGGCGCTAATTACCCTGTAGTTCTAAACTGATTGCTGTACACTACGCTTAAGCCCTCCTTTATTTATTTACCGACTACATTAATAGCAAAGCGGGCTGCTTTTAGCCGTTCCCAACTGTACTCGGGCTGCTCCCTGCTCCCCTACATCTCCTGAAGAGGCAGAGGCAGAGGCAGAGGCTGACACAGCCCCCACATTTTCCGCCCCGGCCGAGGCCCTGGTGACACATGA